AATCACCTCTCTTGACCTGCTGGCCACGCTTCTCTTGATGCAGCCCAGGACACGGTTGGCCCTCTGGGCTGCCAGCGCACATTGCCGGCTCATGTCCAGCCTTTCGTCTATCAGTACCCCCAAGTCCCTCTCAGCAGGGCTGCTCTCGATCCTTTCATCCCCCAGCCTGTATTGATAGCGGGGATTACCCCGACCCAGGTGTAGGACCTTGCACTTGGCCTTGTTGAACCTCATGAGGTTCACACAGGCCCACCTCTCCAGCTTGTCCAGGTCCCTCTGGATGGCACCCCGTCCTTCTGGTGTCTCAACCGTACCACTCAGCTTGGTGTCATCTGCAGACTTGCTGAGGGTACACTCGATGTCGCTGTCCATGTCATTGATAAATTGAGTCTATTTAACCTTAACAGGAGTGGTTTTAACAGCTTCAAGAAAGCACTCTTGAAGGTTAATATCACTCTCTGGCAGCGTTTCTCAGAGCTAACTCCAGTTTAACTAACTGTGTGTGCTGACAAATACAGAGGTAGAGACTCTCCTTTTGCACCAGTAATACCCTCCTTTACCCTGTATTTTTTCAGCTGAATGCCTTGCTAGCTCAAGAATTGCAGAAGAGAATAACAAGTATCAATGTGAGATTCTGTGGCAGTTCAACTAAAATCAGCCTAAAAGATGACTTTGGGGAACTTCTGTGTCTCTAGTCGGTATAACTTCCTTAATGCAATAGCCCAACTAATTTAAAACAGAATTACTATGACTCGACTGAAACTATCTTTCCAAACTACTAAGAGTTGAAAGTACCGAAAAGCTGGTTTGCGCCTAATATTTCCTCTTCCTTAGGCAAATTAAAGAACATAGCTTCCAACTCTGAAACTGAAGATTGGGAGCTCTCACCTTAAGTGTTACTAATTCCCAAACAGTAATTTTGAGGCTGCTCTAATGAAAGACAGGAACAAGCCAGAAAGTTTCAGAAGGATGCAGTCATTTTGTTTGAACATCAAGTGTTGTAGGAGATTTCTTATCCAGCATTCTGAACAATGCTGAAAGATAATCCTGTATTTTTCATAGTTTCCTCCAGAGTCAGAGCTGGAAGAGGAGGAATGAGAGTCTGAAGAGATGGATCCCTGCATCATGTAATATTTTGCTTGTCTAACTTGGGGAAGGAAAAAGGAAGGTATCATTGATAGACACAATGCGGTGAATCCAACTGTCTTCAAAAAAATGGTTTCTGAAATGGAGCTGAAAGCATCTTTTCCTCTACTAAAGTTAAAAGTGGTGAGGGGAAAATTAAATTTAAAAAAAAAAAAAAAATCACATGCCAGGTATTAGTATGTCAAGAAAAGGTAATGCAAACATTTTCTATAGAAATGATCATGCAAACATTTCCAAAAATGGTTACAAAAAGTAGCAAAGCATGAAATATGTAGTTGAGCGGACAACTTCATGCAGAATGGGTTTGTATAGTACATACCCAGATAAGATCTCTTGGGAGGTGCTTTGATTTCTTCATCCTTACTATCTGCAGCTACGTAAAAAAGAGTTGAGGGAAAAAAAGGAAGGAAAGACAAACAGACTTGTATGATTAAATGCAACAGTGGGTCTTTTAGTTACAGTTTAGCCAGTTAGTACACTTTGCTTATAAAAAAAACAAAGGCCAAAACAAAACATGCCAGAAATTTTAGTCTCCATGCTTTCTACAAGGCTCCCACCCCATGATGTTAAGATAGAGTCAAGCAGTATGAAGTCCCAGAACATTCTCAATGCACAACCCAACAGCAGTGTGCCTAGGGGGAGAAAATGAAGACTTAAAAACAGTGAAACAGACAGCTTAACTCTTACTTTATATACTTATGATCTGAGAATACAACCTGTTACCTCAGCAACATTGACTGTGTAGGGACGTATGTGTAATCAGCTAAGACAATACAGCTGCCTTGCCTCCTGTGGAAAATGCTGTTCTAAAATAATTTCAGAAAGCCTGAGTTTAAGCCAATTGTATCAAGAAGGACAGAGTAGACCCCATCCACCAAACATTCTGCATGCTCAATTTCTTCAGTCCAGCCTTCCTATGTCAGTTGAAAACAACATATTATGTCAAGAGTGCTTTCCAGTGCCAGAAACAGGACTCTTCAAGGGATCAGAGTGCTATAAGAAGACAGAAGTTACAAAGCAGGTTAAGACAACCAGCAGTTGGAAGGAAGACAGAACTGGATGAATGACCAGAGGACATCATCTTCATCTAAAAACACAAGAGCCCATGTTCTACTTAAGGAGGCTGGGCTGCACGTATAAGAAGAGACGTCCAGCAGCCCATTTTTAACAAATGCTATCCACTGGTTTTCAGTACAGTTCATACATTCAGGGTGCTCGAAATCTGTCACGATGTCTTGGACATAACTGAAATTGAGTATTTGTTGGAGAGAGGTTGAAGGCTTATCTGGGAAATAAAATGAGGCTTCTTCATAGAATGTCTGTCTCTCCAAGAATATGAAGAGACTGCTCTGGCCTGCCAACGTTTTCAAGAGTGACCAGATGTTTTCAGCAGTCTGTAGCTGTGAGTATCATGCTTCAGCCTCCTCTTGATTCTCAAATCAAGACACGGTACATGCACATTTTGCTTTTCAGCATTCAGCTCTCTAGCATGGTAGCACCATCACACCCCAGAAATACTACAGTCCTTTGAAAAAAAACCAATTATAACAAAAGAAACTATCACTAAACCTTGAGCCTTTCTGTACTGAGCCCATACCACAGCACACAAGGCTGCACAGACACCAATTTAAAAGTAGGCAATGAATATGGAGAGCTATTGTTACCACACCAATAGCACCAGGAGATCTGCATTAAAGCAGTCAAGATGCAATTATAAAGTGGTGTTAAATAAGACGAAGGAGAGATTGTTCCTGCCTGCTGATTTCATCTGAAGACTCCTTCACATAGCTCTCAAAGTATGCATATGCAGCAGAGAGAACTGTTCTATCACTGGAGGTTTTAAAAGAAAGTCGGGGGGGTTTTGTGGTTTTCTTGTTTTGGTAGGGTTTTTTTTTTCCAATTTAGAACAGTTAAACACAAGCTATAGAGTCAAAGTTCAAAAAATAGTAAAACAGTTCAATATATAAAGTGGACTTACTCTGTCTTCAATCAGCACATGTAATTGAAGGACAAAGTGTACGTATCCAGAACAAAAGTCAGAGAAGGCAGCAGTAGCATAGGATGGGCTCTGCCACTTTCAACTTACTTTCAGTTTGCAAAACCAAAAGGGAGCGGGAGCAAAATCCCGTAACTGAGAAGTAACTGGGGGAAAAAGTAAAAGATTATGCGAGTTTTCCTAATAAGTTCTTTATATAAAGCCTACAAGCCATAATCAAACATTACTGGAAAGAGTCCAGAGAGACTGTATTTTTCATGCTATGATAGTTACTAGCATTTCGACTGAATGGCTTTATGTCTATCTTATGAATTACTATCGATATGTATTTTAACCACAAAACAGGGTAGAGAATACAGAACAAGCTAGTCAGGATTAGGAGAGACTGTTCCTTAATGCTTCAAGAAATTTTTAGTAGATTCCTTCTGAACTAGTTATTACTTAAGCGACCTCATCTGTGAGGATAACAAAAAAAAGGCAACTCCCACATAATTCAAAACACACTGGTAATCATATACTAACCGGGGGAGAGCGGGGGAGGAGATATATACTCCCACCAAAATATTCTATTCAATTCACTTTCTAAATATTTTGGATTATTTTGCAGAAACTTTCACAGGGAGGATAGAAATTAAAGAAGAAAAATGTTTCAACTGAAGACCAGCCACGTGAGAAATAACAAATTATCTCATCATACAGAAATTGTGCACCTTCCCCTCAGGATTCTGCAAGGTTAATCAAAAGCACCAACTTCAAACCTAGCTTCTTACTGCCCCAATAAGCTATGAGGAAAGAAAGTAAGTACACAGATTTATCAGCTTGCCTAGATTGCCATAAAATGTAAGAGATAAGATTAGGAGCAGGATTAGAAACAAGGATCTCACTCCTACTCATATTGTGCTTGAAATACCAACCTATCTTTCTGCCTCGCATGAAAGGAGCTTTGTATGCATTTATATGTTTCGTCTGTTACTGCTGGCCTTTCTAAAAATCAATCACAGGTAAAAAATATTTTAGCTGTTCTCAAAAGTTTGTGGAAGGATGCAAGCCTTTTGATGAAAACAAATAATCAGGGTCCCCAAGCAGGTAAAAATCAGTCTCTCTAGCCAACCGAACACATGACAAGCTGACTTTCAGGAAAAAGGATCAAATGACACCATGCAACCTTGAGGAGTTTCCACTACCTGGTAAGGGAAAGACCGATTATCCCTTAGGAGACTGCATGTCTTTCAGGGAGAGTTGTTTAAAGAGGGCTATATATTAAACTGAATAGCCTCCCATTTTTGTCTAAAGGTTACCAAAGGAGCCTGCAAGAGTGTGTGTGCGTAAATGCGCAAGAAGTTAATTTCCTCTCAGAAAAGGCAAACAGAGGAACCTTTCTGCCACTTCATAAAGCGCTAGCACAGAGTGTAAAGGAGGGAGAAAGCATACATACCCCTCCCAAATGCTTCCTGGATTTTAACTGCTGCTAAATCTGGCTGAAAGTAGTTTTAAAGTCAGCCATCCTGCCAGACTAACAACCCTTGCGAACACAGCAGTTTGTGTTTGGGAGCTGGAGTGCAGCTCCTCTTTCACATGAACTCACTTACCTGAATAGTTTCACACTATACTCCACAACAAGTGCAAATGGAAATAGCTTCCTTAGCTATTAGATAAATTACCCTACTGCACAGCCAGTACGCTGTTTCCTTCTAATGAGGGCTGTGGATATCTGGAACTGGATCAGACCCTCAATTATTAGCGAGTGAGGGAAAAGAACAGATGGAGAGAACAAATCATACATCCATATTGGCAAAACAACTGACAAAAAGCTGACAGTATTAATTCTGTTCCTGTTGGTAATAAGCTGTAACAGAAATGTTGCAAGTCAAAGTCAACACAGAGGAACACAAAAACTCCCCCTCTGGGAAAAAAAGTCGGGACTTCCACAGAGCTTGAGCATTTCATTAAATAAAAGAATAATACCCTGGCCCTGACTGAAATTACTGACGCCTAAAAATCAACAAACAACCAAAATAAAAAATATGTGAAAATTCTCATAAATCCCAACTAATCCCACATTAAAACCCAAAGAAATGGTATACAAAAAGACACGGTTTTGCAACTATGATATGACTGCACCTCCTACTTTGACAGCCAATAACTCAATGAGTAGAAAATCAATTATGTACAAACGCAAGTGTTTGCAATTGGAAAATAAAATTTCTGGTAATAGTGTCTGATCATACCCAAGAACTTGGTAGAAAGTACAGCTGAAGAAAACAACTTCTTATTCTGGCCAAGATCTTAAAAAAATATCCAGGCTAGCACAATGGCATAACAGCCAGCTCTATATTCAGGGCATGGTGTGAAATACTAAGGAGATCTCCAATTTCCAGACTGAACCAAGACCCGTCTGAAATAAAATTACAGTTTTACATATTTATCTGGAAAAAAGCAGTTTCAAAACAGACGTTCAGGAAATGCTACACTGAATTACCAAGAAAGAAGACTGGACTGCAATTCAGACAGAACTTTTGCCCAAAATACAGCGCATCATGCTTTCAAAAAGATTTATCCTGCAAAAGCCAGTTTCTGTAACTAACCTGCAAAAGAGCGACGTTTTATGTTTAGCTCGTTGGACACACGTACTTCAGTGCACAGTCTCAGCATCAGCAACATAGTAATGATCATGATAACGCTTTGCCACAAAAGCGGGGATTCAAAATGCCTTCCAAACCTAAAAAAAAAAAAAAGGAAAAGAAAATATATAAAACATCTCAAAGATGACAAGTATTGTACCTGGTTACTTTCATTCTTTGATCCTATCTAAGCACCTGAAAAATGAAATCCTAACAGTAACAGGTATGAAAGGCTGAGGAAGAGAAAGTCACCAGCCAAATCTAGAAGCACACGCAGTAGCTCAGAGCAACAATCCCCTTGAAGGAGTATCTGAGAACCTTATTACAACACCCCTGTGGACTGATCCTAGATATTCTGAAACCAGAAGTTTAAGTCTTTGTTTGCAAAGCCAGCAGCAAACCTATTACATTGAAAGGAGAAGCAGATTGATTGAGCAGCCAAGGCAGCACAGAGACCAGAGAGTTATGTCACATTAATACCAGTTTATGTGTCCTCTCCATATATATACTCTGTAGATTTCACAAACACTTCTGTGCAAAATTTTCACCTTAAAAATTAAAAATTGACACAGATGTCCTAAAAACAACAGCACTTGCCCTATAAAGAAATAAATACCCATGGCTGTTAGCTTGCTAGTTTTAACATAACACCTTCCTATGGGGTGGGGAAGGTATTACGCTTTGTCTGCCTTGTCTGGCTCTAGACATCTGAGCAGAAAGACCAGGTCTGCAGAACACAACAATCAATTCATCAAAGTGTGTCTAATTTGGACCAAGGTCAGGGGAAGTAAGGAAGTCCAAAAGATATGGGAACCGAACACACATAATTTGTCTTGTCCTGCCCTCCCGCCTTCCTCCAATTTAATTTCTGCTTGCTCACAGATTATGCTTGGTGGGGACTACCGAGCCCTTCCTGCACGTAACACAGAGAGGTGAACTTAGATTAGTGCTCAATCTTGACTGAAGAGCTCACTCTTATGTGATTGCACAAGGTTCTGTCACAAGAAAATGAGACCCCTCAGTAAAGGCCGGTGATGCTCCAAACTTCTCTTCCTGCATTACTTGATAAAAGCTCAGCAGTCCCCACCAGACACTCTCAATAAGTGTATTAGAGGTGAAGGCTGGAAGCTTTCAATCTGCTGCCCTCGAAGTACATTAGATTTACAATAGGAAGGCTGCACACACATCACGCTGAGCTGCTTCTCTGTACTCAGTTCCACCGGGTTTTATGCCTTGAAGAGAAAGACGCCGAGGAAGGGATTTGATGAAAACATTGTTATGCTCCCCAACTCCTTCAGCCTGCACCGTGAGACACACAGGCTTTCTAAATTCCCTCATAGCACAGTTACTAAGGCCATTCCCTGAGCAGACCATGCTGCTGCAGACCTCAGCCTCACAGACATGGCAACCACTGCCCTCCTTCTTGACAGTTCCTGTTTTATAGCATCCTGGCAAAATATAATTTCTTATGCTTGGGTTATTTGAATAGCAGAGCTCCATGTTTGTAAAAACCAACTAGGTTCACCATCACGCTCCCTCACACAATACTGCATTTCCACTGTAGCCATTTCATCAGCGAGATTTTTTTTTGTTATGAACCGACTAATAAGGAATAGGAAAGAGACTGGCAAGTCCCTGACTAGCTTCCTCGGAAGTCCTCCTGTGCAGAACTGCCAAGCAGCCTGCACCAGTGAAAATGGCCAAGTATTTTCTACCTAATGGCATACAGCTAAGGAAAAGCAGGACAATGCCTTAAGCCTCCACACCACTGCCAAGACACCGCCAGTAGCTACTGGAAGAACAGCAGCTGCATGTACCTTAGTCCCCCCCTTTTTTTCTACCATCGATGGATTTGTGGTGGGCCACACAAGAGCCATTACCATAATAAATCTGGAGGATGCTATGAGGAAGGAAACAAAGAACATAACTGATGCATGTAATCACAGGCAGAGTGCTCTCTGGTTAAGGCTTTCATTGCACTAGGAAAAAATGCAGAGGAGAAGAACAGAAGTTTGGCCCAGCCTATGATCCCAAGGCTCATTCGGCCTGTGTTGCCGACTGTGGCCAAGATCCCCTGAACTACTGGAATTCACTGTTATATTTGCCTCTTACTCAGAGAATGAGAAAATAAAATGTGAAAGACTCACTTAGAACTACAGAGCAGTTAAAACCTTCACATCAGGCTTAGAAAAACCATCGTCAATCACAAATGCATTTGCATGTAAAAACACAGCAATGAATTTGAGGGGTTCAGCTAGCAGCACAATAAACTAGCAGCTATTCGGATGGCAAATCCAGAGCAGGTTAGCTTAAGGAGATTATTGGCCATGCAGTAATCGGTGCCTCATGAAGTATTGCTTACAGTATAAACATCCACCCCCTACAAACACACACAAGCATGGCCACCTGATGTCTGATCATTAACAATTTTCCATTACCACAGCCTTACTGGAAATGAGACTGGAAGTATTGCTGCAGACCCTCTACCCCTTAAAAACTCGGGGGTGGGGGGGAAGGCACGGGAGTAAAACTGAACTCAAAACACACAAGAAAGGTAGACTGGAAATTTAAAAATTCTTATAAGGACTTAAAACAATGCACAACACCTGTATTTTTTTTTTTTCTTTTTTCTTACAATCCTCCAGCCAAAGACCAAGGTTACACAACAGAACATACTCACGTGAAATACATCTCCCCAGACAGCAAGCCCCAAATTGAGTCTTGCAGGCAATACAACCCTCTAAGCTAGGTCACATCTACAGGAAATCAAACAGCTGCCATGGAAACCGACAGACAGAGCTAACAGGACATGGCCTACACCACACCACCGCAACATCAAGACTGAAGGGAATACCACTGCCGGGTTCTTGAAGCTTGAAAAGTAAAGCCAGAACACTTCTTCTGCTCAGGACTGTGGAAACAAACACCACTCCAAGCTGCTTGCTCCGCAATGATATTAGGGCCTTGCCAAAGCAACACTAATCTAATTTAAGACAACTCATGCCAGCCTGAGCTGGGAGCACTGCAAGATGCAAGGCCTGCAGGGAGTGTGCTGTTCCATGTTCTGTTTACTTTTGGCCTCGCAGAGGTGACTTCTATCTTTGCCAGAGCAGGTATGTCCCAGGGGAGGAACATTAGATTATGAGAGAAAGATAAAGAGCCTTCTGACACTAGAATGGGCTAGCAGAAAAGAATAACTTTGACGTCCTAGGATGAGGGGGTCACCATCATTATTCTACATTTTCACCCCAAAGCTACAAGGTTATGCGACAAAGTGAGCAACCGTGACATTTGCAGTAGTCAAGCAACTCAGACTTCGCATGTCAGACTATAAAGAGACAAAGAGCTTCTCACTGTTTACTTAATACCATAAAAACAAAAGAAATCTTTTTTCCTGTAGTAGTCAAATGTGCAAATAAAGAGGAAGAGGCGCTCACATTTTATTAGTATCTCAACAGCCTTAAAAAAATTAATGCATGTTGAGGGTGATGAAGACAAATGTGAACATTCGAGCCAGAGCAGAGACTAACTAGTCATGGAGAAAACTAGGTAACTCCATTGGTACGACTCAATCCTGTTGCAATAATCCTGCCACTCCAGTCCTGGGCTTACTCAAAACAGCAAAGGCTGATTGTGCAAAAGCAGCCCCAACTAGACCAACACAAAAGGTTTGCTTATCTCCTTTCCCAAGACATCTCTGAAAGGAAACATACAAAATCCTACTTTACATTTACTTTTTGTACAAAGGAGCAGTGCATTTTATCCTTGCTCTCTGGCATTTATAAAAAGGAGGAGCAATTGCCTAACACTTTTGCTCTCAATATCTGAGCAAGATTCCACAGCAGGCCACATGTAACACAGTCTTTCAAAGTTGTAGTCACTCTGTCAGCTTGGTTCATAGCATCATCCCACCTTCCCCAGATGGTAAAAGCTGGCAAGATCCATTTTAGTAACAAAAGTCTTCAAAGCAAAAGTTTCTCCTTCCCACAGGAAGTCCTACAAACAGACATCGCTGGCCCACTATCTGAAGTCAAAGCAACACCTGACTGCAGGGACCTGATCCACAAGTAGCATTATAGGTGTTACAGCAAAATAAATAAATATGTGGAAATCTACCCCAAACAACAGCAAGTCCAATGTTTTCCTATAAATTACCTCCAGCTGCATACTTGGCTCGGTAAACCTCCCCTCATAGCAAGGAGCTTACTCCTCCGACTCCATCTGGCACAAAGAGCTTCTAGTTCTACTGACATTACAGTTTTCAGAACCTGCTTTGCTTCAGGTGAACTGATGTGGAATGGGTAGAAGGTTACTTCTTCTCCAAAATAACACACTCCGTAGCTTTCATCTTTTCCCTGACAGTCAGAACTTGTTTCCACAGTTTGTCTTAAGGCAACTATTTTGTGAGAACAACTACAAAATTGGACAGTTTTATTTTCTGTTGCTTGGATTTATATGGTGTTGCTGTATGAAGTTTAGGCCAGCGGCCCACAGAATTGCATCTCAAACCTCTGGAAAGAATATTGTCTTCCTGGAAAATACACAAACCATATTACATTACTACTTAAAACATTTCATAGACTGCAAAAATGAAACAAAAGTCTAAAAACCTCTGGGAACGGCAGGGAGCGTAAGTGCTTTTTGCTGAGCTTAAAGATACAAATGAAAATGCCTACCGCTGACTTCTAAGAAATCTGCAGTTCCCTTTCCCCCAGCTATTTATTCTGATTTTAATATTAAAAGAAACCATAATTTATCTCGCCATAAGCTCTGTTTTGAAAAATAGAAAGGGGGAAGAGAGGGAGAACTCACAAGTAAGTTTTTCTGCATTCTCCACCCCCAACTGATCACATAACTCTCGCCCGCCTTCTCGTTCCTGTTCTTGATCACGACAACACAAAGCTAGTCAGCTGGCAGACTGTAGGCCATGTAGGACATGAACAAAGAAGATACGTCCGTCTCGGTCACAATTGAGTTCAAGTGCCACAGTGCGCTCTGAGGCCAGGCCACAACTTCAAAACAGCCTAAGACAGCTTAACCAGGTGATTAACCACCTCAGAGCTCAAGCACCAGCAAGACTTGGGATCCTCTTGGATAT